CACCACCACCACCACCACCACCACCACCACCACCACCACCACCACCACCACCACCACCACCATCATCATCATAATCATTATTATTATTATTATTATTATTATTATTATTATTATCAGTGGGGGCACTTCTGCACCTTGCCAAGCACAGCCACTATTGCCCTGTCCGTCGGTAATGTGCACTCGGTTCTAACGCATCCCCATTGCGACCAGACCTTCAAATCACACATTGACTTAAGAGTCCATCGCACTGCAACTGGCACACCAGTACCTGAAACTGCTACACATAATCGCCAAAAATGCCTCGTTTCCTAGCACCGTCTCGGGACATTTAGATATCGTAGGAATCTTTTTGAATATGCTCGCGTGCATGAAACCTGGATTAACTGCATTCTCATCTCAGTGAACTTGCCTTCCTCCAAAAAGCTCTTCTACCACCATCATTGTTTCCGTAGACACATTTCAGGCACGTCTACACTGTTGCTGCACATTCGACTCGCGGATCGGTTACGGTACATCACTTAAGACTCCAGTTCACCGGAGTCAACCAACAAGTACCAGTGGGTCCCGCCTACTTCAGGGCACCCACGTCTCACCAGTTCGCACCGTCCCAGAACGTCCAACCACGCGCTGTCCGAAAAATTCCTCAGTAAAACAACGCTGTCTGGGCCCCATAGCAAAGTTAATTTGACATTTACGAATTGATAAAACCTCTGATTTTCTTAAAATAACCTTTGTATTAGCAGGTCGATTATCACGGTTAACATCGGACATAAAATAAATTTTCAAGTCCGGCTAAATCTGTTTATTAAAACTCTCGCGGGTAAATTACTATCCTTTCAATTAAAAAGTCGCTCAGATGCGTAACCGGTGCCTAGGACATGTGTTAGCATAAGAAATCACACAAATATATTCCAACGTCCATTTTCGCCAAAATTTACTGATATTTTACTTCATATAATTACGTAAACACAATTTCTGCACAAGAAAATGACATTTTATTGAAGAAAATGGATGAGCGAACAGAATGCGCAACGCTGAAGACATCCAGAAATTTTCGCTTCAGTTCCCATTATCAGATTTCTCGAGATAGGTCACGTACTGCACCCGCACACATGAACACCCCCAGGTTACATGACAGTTCGACCGACGATGCCGACGATGTTCACCGTGCGCTCCACAGCAAGGTGACAGCAGGCACTGTGACTTGTGCGTGAAGTAGTTTATAGTAGTAACAGACTTGCACAGCATCTACCGCATTCTCCCCACCCGCCTGGACTCGGTGTCATTATGCAGTCAAGAAGACCGGAAGCGGTAGGGGGCGCAGATGGCAGGCACGATTGGACACGTACCTAGGCGTACCACCACATCCCCCTGTACACAACAAACACTTGGCCAGGAGTTAAACCAACAAAAATGGATCAGAAAGAAAGGGATGAAACCAATCACCGGGCGACCATGCACACGACCTGTATACCCATCGGGAGCGCGAACGCATCCACCGACAGCGCACACCTGGCTGCGAGAGTCCTGTTTTTCTGAAGCGAGGATAGCATATGCACACAGTCCTTAAAGCCCATGAGGGTGGGATGCGATCATATATTTAGCCTAGACAATCACCCTTCAGATGCCGGACAACTAGTCAGCCATCGACCGAGAGGCACTACCCATACATACACATAAATACATTCCTCAAAGGCGTGAGAGGGCCAGGGGTCAAGTTAAGAAAGAACCGTTGCAGTCTGCTTCCCAGTCCACCAGTTCGTCACTCCACGCGAGCACACACACAACTGGGCCAACTGAGTGGATTGAGTTGAGACATCAGTCGGCAACGTTCTAAACTACGGCGCTTGGTACATCTTAATAGTCTCTGGCTCGGATCACACACGCAACAGAGGAGCCACATGGAGAAGGAGCTGGGGAGCACAGTTGCCACCTGCGTGAGAGGTTTCAATTGCGTGCTTGTGTTGTATGATGGTGGATGATGTTGATGTGTATTGCAGGTGCTGGTGGGTAGAGGTGTGATGCTTTGGCGTAGCCGGCGGTTGTCTACCGTAGGTTTTCATGAATGGGCATGTGGTATAGTAGGCCTATGCGGTGGCCAAATGTGCGGGGCTATGCGGACGGTTGGGTCGAGTGCATATGGTGTATGTTGGAGCTCCACGCACTGGTTAGCCAGTCTCCGTGCGATGGATTCGCAAGTGACCAGTCAGGCCGATGTGTGAGGCGAATGTGCGATCACAATGAGGGAGGTCGGGATCGAGTCCACATCGCTGAATGTGGGGGTGCTCGTGATGGGTGCTCGGTGGGTGAAGTGCGAGATGTTGTGGTGTTGGCGGAAATGGTTGCCGTGGTCGACGCAGGGATTTAGGTAAGGCAGATGGTGTCAGTGACCGGGATGGTCGTCGTCCGGGGTTTGCGGCAGGGGCGATTGTGAGAAGTCTACGTTGTTGGGTTGTTGGTGAATTGCGTCCGAAGGTGTCTTACGAGGCCGAATCGCGAGCAGAATGCGCGTTGACAGCGCGAACATGTTGGGAGCGACTGACTGTTAGAATTGAGGAGTCGAGGCATTTGTGGCTTGCTAGCCTCCCTTTGGCTTTGGTGGTGGCGATCCGAATTGTTTCGCAGATGGCAGCGCCGGTCTTCATACCGGTCTGTTCTGGGTCAGATCAGCTCAGGTCTTCGAGTTAATTTGCAGTCGTTTCAAAGAGTCCACAAAAGTATCTTTGTAGCGCTCTTTTTGCCCTCCTTGTCGACGAGTACCCGTAACGACATCGCCATAGAAGAATTGTTTCGGTAGACTTATCTTCCGTCCTCACAAGATGGCTGCGCAAACGTAGTTGCAGTTGCCTCGACAGGGCGTGAATGCTGGGGATTTCTGTCCGTTCTAGGACTTCCGTGTTGGGGGTCCTGGCTTTCCAACTCAGATTTTGTATTCTGCGAAGGCTGCCGGGATGGAGGTGGTTGCTCGTCTTCTTTGGTCGTAGCGTTGAGTGCGAAGTTGTTGGCGAAGAGCATGTCGTGGACTATGGTCGTAGATAGTCGCGTGGGGGCCTTCATGTGCTTGCTATTGAGAAGGTGCACGTCGGTCCTGTAGGTGATGCGGATCACAGGGCGCTCATCACGGTATGCGTCCATCAATATAGCAGAGAACATGAAGCTGAAGAGGGTAGGCGCGAGGACGCAGCCCTGCTTCACTCCACTGGGCATTGCAAATGCCTCGGAGCTTACGCCGTTGTCCGTGACGCGCGCCATTATCCAGTCGTGGCAATGATGTACCATGTGCGTTAATTGTTCAGAACAGTCAGAACGGTCGGATTTCTGCATGCTTCTCCAGAGTCTCTCGCAATTCACCGTCTCCAGGGCTTTCGCCAGGTCTACGAAGGCAGTGTAGTATACGGAGTCCGCATCTCCTGGCACTTCTCTTGTAGTTGGTGGTCGACAAAGATCTTATCGGTGGTTGTGCGGTGTCGCTGGAATCCACATCTACTTTCCGGCAGAAGTTCTTGTTCGCGGTGTCTGTTGAGGCGATTAAAAAGGATGCGCGGGAAGATATTCCCGGCGATGTTGAGTAGCGAGATGTGTCTGTGATTGTCAAAAAGTTGCCGGTTCCCTTTGCGCTTGTAGAGCCGAAGCATGTCTGTGTCCTTGAAATCCTAAAGAACTTGTACATGGCGCCACATCTCCTGAAATAGCTCTGTGATTTGGTTCACCAGTCAGTGGCCGCCGGGCTTGTAGATTTCAGCCGGAATCGCATCGGAGCCCAGTGATTTCCCTTTCGGAAGTTGTTGCACGGCGCGGGTAGTTTCTGGAAGGGAGGGCAGGGGATCCAGGTCTATGTTTATTTCCACTTAGGAGGGCCGGTCAGTGGTGGCGTCGGAAATTGTGAAGGGCCGGTTGAGGACGCTTCCGAAATGTGCGGCCCAGCGATTCAGAGTCTGTGACGGTCAAATTTTCGTGGGTCGTCCCTTTTTCCACTTTTACACTGCAGGCCATTGCACCATGTCGTATGACAAATTATGTCAAATAACTTGCTGGTTACCCATACATGGAACATTAGGTCACCTACAGAAGATGAACAAACGATCTCTGGAATAGTAGGTGCATTAGCCTGAACTTTAGGTCTCGTACAGGAGGCCATCGTCAGAGTCTGTGAGAGTGCGGCGTCAAATGAGCAGCTTTTGTAGTCAAACCATGAAGGGAGGTGGATATGAGTGCAGAGGGTAGTATTCGCGATAAGCTGAGTCCCACGCCGTCTCACGGCGGGGTGACTGCGTGCACCCTTGGCTGGAAATTGGGTCTCGCCTTTTGGCCGCGGGAACGGAGCGCGTGATAGCAGGGGAGTATGTCAACGTGTCTGTTGATAGAGTTGGTGTCAGACACCCAGGCCTCCAACAGCTCTCGCCCTGTCTTATTGCTGGCCTGTGCTACTATCCGCGTGCTCGCGAAGTTGAATTCGTGGCCTTCCTCCAGGGTGAGAGTAGCGACCTGGGACAACGGGTCGCCTCTCCGGACCGCCCGTTTAGGCTCCGTTATTCGTGACCTAAGTCGTCGTCCGGTCTGTCCTGTGTAGTGGCGAGGGTAGTCCCGACACGGTATCTGATACATGACAACCGATTGTTCTCCCACGTCTAGTAGGTCCTTCACTCGCATAATTTTGTTGCGCATGGTCGCTGTCGGACGGTGAACGATACCCACGCCGAGCTCTTCAGCGATACGTTCCATCGCTTTGGACACGTGCTTTATATATGGTAGAGGGTGCCAGAGTGTTGGCGGCTCTCTTCCGTTTGTTCGCCGTGGGTGTGTGCGGAGGCAGCGGCCGACGAAGCTGTTCGGGCATCCACCCCTTGGCAGTTGGTCCCGAAGATGTCGTAGTTCTCGTACGCATCCTGGTCCTTCTGGTCGTCGTCCGGTCTGTCACCTATTTCGGAATGCGGAGTGCGGGCAAATCAAGACCCAATATGATGGTATGTATCTCGATGACAGAAGTTAGAGACATTGGCTATGACAGGTTTTTTTCCGGATAGCTGGAATCTAAAAGCCACCGCGTTGTGAAAATACAGGTAAATTCTAGGAAGGATTTGGTGTTATTCATAGTTGCCATCATCTGCGGTGAGGGCACCTGCTACCTTCTTAGCTTATTTAGGTAGATGGGTTTCAGCATGGTTTTCCTAGCAACAGGTCGAGAAAGGGGTTATGAGAGAAGCTGATTTCGACCTCTACTAGCGCTGTTGATGTTAACGTTGCCCGTATCAGGCTCGGGGTTAGTGTCAAGAGTTGGGTGATCCTCAGGATTGGGGTTGCCAGGCTTGAGTTATGATTTGGATTTGAGGTCAAAGCTTTGGTTGGGGTTTCTGGTTTTCGACTATGGTTTTAGACTTATGATTGGGATTAAGCATAGAGATTTAGGGTTAGGGTTACGTTCGAGTTTTTCTTAAATGTTTACAGGTTAAGGGTTAGGGTTGCCCATTACAGGCATGGCCACAGTCGGACTTGGGGTCGTAGCTAGTTTTGTGGTGAGGTACCTGACTAATTTACCTTTGACAATTTAGTCCCATTTTCTTTGACCGCATTGGTTGTTTGAATGTGACGAAAAACGACACACCGGCACAACCCGCCTTGCTAGCGTGCTCTGCTGTGGTATTCTGTTGTCAGGAGGATTCTATACCCTAACCATGTCACATCTGCCAACCTCAGCCGTCGCACTCAGTATGGTTTGCGATGAAAAGAACTTCATATGCAGAACGATCCCATGGAATTTTTTAGACACGGCTTGGTTTCGAATTAAAGACGTACTAAAAGCACTCATGCTCAACTCCACTTACTGGGAAGCGACTTTAGATCGTTCGGTAGTTGATTTGCTTTAATCTACAGTCTGACGACATAACTTTGGTAAGTAAATTCCAGCTCCAACAACGGAACGCTGACTGCATGCATTGAGTTTTGCTTACCATTTAATGGAAGGTCACTGGTTTAACTTTTCTCAGTGACATACCTTGAACAGACTAAGGGCAACGTTTGCCATGGGACGATGGTAGAAGCGTTATTAAGGCGGGATAAAAAAATAATAGAGAAGAATGTTCCACCCTGGTGTATGGGCATGCTGAGGCTAAATTTTGTTAACGCACTGCGGCCCCCTCTTCCACCATGCAAAGTGATTCCGCTTTTACCGTCCTCCTTTGAGGCGTGAGTCCGTGTCATGTCTTGCGGAGGTCGACAGTATGGGTGTTGGGTAATTTTGCCGCATGGACGTCCTTTTTCAAAAACGTCTACATTCCTGATCCTGACTGCTCGATTTATCTTCAGGGAGGTACTACCGTAATGGCTACGCAGTATGCAGTGCGGCTCT